GTTAGTCAATTAAAATCCGAAACCAGTACTCAACCGATTGGCTAAGGAAGCGGGAACATTACGAGAGCAGAAGATTCTGGTCTTAGAATCACTCACTTTCTGCCCGGAACTAGCGCAAAAAGCAGCAATGCACTCCGAGATAATCTGCACTTGGTCTAACCTTGCCTCCGCAAAGAGAATAAGGTCGTCGGCGAAGAAGAGGGGAGATAACTTCGGCCCATCTCTTCCCATATGAATTGGCTTCCAGGCCCCAAAATCCACTGCCTTGCGCCTGTGAGAGTCTCTCCATGCACAAAACAAATATATACGGGGAGAGGGGGTCGAATGCCATTTGTACCTCGGAACTAGCCATGCGGAGATCCATTGAGGAGGATAGGGTAGGAGATAGACTGTAGCTTGAGCCGGCGGCAAGCAAGAAAGTCTTCAAATCAAAAGGGAGGGAGTTCTCCGGAAAAGCAGACTGTGGTAAATTTTTGAACGATGCAGTACAGAAAATGGGAAGTCAAAGTTTAAGAGACCAAAAAAGACCCAGTTGAAGAAAGCTTTTGATTCACCCGCTTGTTCAAACTTCCGTGAGGCCAAGTTTGACTCGAGTGAAGTTGGCCCAGTGTAAGTGGCGGTAAAGCCAAATGAAGAGAAGACTGAGGGAAGTTCTGATTCGAAAGGGAAAATCGAAGTAAAGTTACATGAATTGAAATCCAACCCTTATAAATTCAATTTGAAAGCTTTTACAGCTCCAAGCGCTCCTTGAAAAGTTGCCAACTGGTGTTGGCTTGAGCTAGTCTCTCTTTTCCCCCATACCAGTTGTCATCTGCTCGTTTGATCTCCTCTTCCAAGTTTTTCCATTCTGCCAGATCCTTAGATACCTTTTCATTGGTCTTTTCAAATTGAGAAGCAACTGAGTTTTTGTGATCAAGCAGCTCCTCTTTTTTGGCAATCAAACGCTGGATCTCAACCTCCAGTTTCTCTTCTTCCTCTGAAAGTCTTGAGAATTTAGCGTCTAACGAACTGAGCTCTTTGTGTCCTTGAACCAGACTGGCATCAAGACTAGTTGCCTTTCAAAGGCATTTTGACATTATCCCATTTCCACGTGAAAGCAGATAAGAAGTCTCGTCTTCATCCTATTGTGATGTCATCTCTATTAAATCTGCTATTCCTATCATGCTATTGCTTCTGTCTTCCAACCATCTAAGACCGGATTCAATAGCAGCTCCTTCTCTCTTGTTTTCATCCGATCTATCATCTTGGAGCAGGTATAATAGTCTAAGAATAAGACATGGATAGTGCGGTAGTGGGATGAGAGAAGTCTTATACCCTTTGTTGAATAAGGCAATAAGAAGGAAGGGATTTATCAAGCAAGATAGCATTCATCAAGCCAGAATGCCTATGGAATCGGCTGTTGTGAACCGAACTCTTTCAATACATATGGAATCTACTTTGTGTTCCGTGACTTCCTTCTCTCTTCCTTCCCCCTCCGCCTCTAGAATTATCTCATTCTTAACAGCCCGAGACCCAAATGAAATTTACGGAAAAACGGAGCTTCCGCAACAAAAATTGGGGCATTTGAGGCTATACTATAGAATTCGTTATGCTTGTCATTTGAGCTGGGAGGCTTCAAGGTCGATGCTCAGTTGGGGTAGGCACGTTATCACTAGGGTCAGTATTGGCCTTTTTTGATTGTTCAGCGATCCAGCACTACAAGCCTCCAGATAGACTCCTAAAAATCATATCTATCCATTGTTCACAGAAGGGAATTCTTTCTCAGCCTTTCCCATCCATCTTACCATATGGGACCCTCCGTTCGATGTCTCATCAGTACGACCCGGCATTCAGTAAGGCAAAAGCAAAAATGCCACTGAGTCTTTGCCCTCTGGTCTTTGTTTCATTCTGGGACGTGGAGGTCTTTTTTCCACTTTTTTTCGTTACAATGGACCTTTCAATTCAAGGGCGTTGGAGTATTAGCTCATGTAAATATGATGATGGGGGAGCTAATAAACACGCTCCGGGAGGGGAACCCCATTTGTGTAAATATTGAACATTTTGTTTCGCACCATTCCATAATTCAAACGCTTGTTGTACAATGTATGACCCCTCGAGTCGCTTCGTAACCCAATGGTATTGACCCTTCTTCGAGGGTTGGTTTTAAGTGTAAATTTGATTTTCTCTCCAAAACAAAAGGGCTATTTAGGTCCAGGGTTTTGACTATCATCCAAAGTGTGGCAAGCTTAATATATGTTGGTGGCCTTGGGCGGCCATGTGCCGAAATCGATACTTGAAGGCCTTGCTTTGAATTGGGCTTGGTCTGCTAATCATCCATCCAGCTCGTATCTATGGAAGGGTAATGAAAAAGACTATATGTCAAAGGCCTCTCCCTTATTCATCTATAGGGGGTTTCTTGGGAACGGTTCGAGTATTGAATTCTTGAATGAAAACTGGGTCAATGGTAAAAGCCCGGTGGAAATTTGTCAAATTGATTCGAGTATAGTGAGATCTCTCCCCCAGGGGGGTATCCGACATTATTGAGCAGCCTCATCAAGTCTGGCCCTCAGGAGCCTCTTTCCTAATCTTGTGCAACAAATTCGGAACTCTTCCTAGCTCCTATACGCCTGATGAAAGGCTATGGTTGCCTTCCCAGGACGGCGAATTTTCGTTTCAATCCGCCTGGAATGCTTTTAGGCATAAGGAGGAAGTAAAATCATGGAGTAGTTGCAAGTATGGGATTTGAAATGTCCCCTCAAAAGAACTCTTTTTTTCTGTGGCTTGTGCTAAGAAACCGAGTTCTTGTAGATGCATCCTTTCAAGTGAGAAATATTCAGCTGGTGTCGAGGTGCTCGCTATGTGAGAAGGAAGGCGAATCGGTGTTACATTGATTTTGGGCGTGCTCCAAGGCCAGGCTGATTTGGGAATCTGTTCGGGTTTGGAATTCAGAACTGTCAAGGTGACTCTATGGTGCGCATTTTCCTAGCTCATTGAAGATTTTTAGGTCTTCCTAAGTTCATAGGAAACTCGGCCTTTGCCATAACTGTATGGGGAATGTGGAAGCTGAGAAAGTCAGGCATGACAATGCCGACGGTTGATACCAGGCGCTGTGTGATGCAAATCCGAGCTGACTTAATTGAGTTAATTAGACTTTGTCGGCTCGTTGGTAAGGCGATGTCCCAGCGACCTGAAGATGCTAAACTTGCGAAAACTTTTGGTGTCATGGATCTTCCGGTAAAGAAATAGAAAATGACTCCTGTTACATGGCCATTCCCTTCTTCATACTGCTTTGTTATCAATTTGGATGGAGCTGCTATTGGTACTCCGGCCGGTACTGGTTTTGTTATTCGGAACTCGCCGGGTCAAGTTATTGCCCTCTCGATGCAAGCTCACGGCAACAACTTGATCCGTGTATGCGCTCCTGGCCTTCCCAGTTATCGGCCACAAGGTTGGTGGCGGCCACCTTCCTTCATTCAATGCTGCGTATCCATCCCTAAATCTGCTTACTGAGACTGGCCTGTTTGACTTGACTGTCGAAGGGGGCGAGCCGAAAGGAGATGGAATCAACTCGACGTTAGGATAGGAGATGCGTCGGCTGGACTTCTTTCTGAGCATGAGGAGCTACAAAGGCAGGTTTCCGTCCAATAGTTCGTAAGCTTTCTTTAATAAGCAGCTTCTTTCGTGCGTGATTAACCAATACATTCCTAATAGGTAACAGACTCCGCTAATTGCCCTACCGCTATGAGTGGGAAAGGTGCCTCTCCAGATCCAGAAGAGTCCAGTTTCTGATAAACTTCCTTCCTATTAATCTGGAAGTTCTTCTCAGATATAAGGAAATGTTTCAGTTCCAGAGCCAAAGATCGTAGTTCTCGAACGAGCAATCGAAAGGATTCTGGAGCATCCTCAGGTTTAGGTATTGTTCGTCCACTGATCGTAGTACCAAGCACTTCTTGGCGAGCTCTAATATGATCAGATTTATAAGTAAGCATCTCTTGTAAAATATGAGAAACACCAAATCCCTCTAGAGCCCAAACCTCCATTTCTCCTACCCGTTGTCCCCCTTGTTTGGCCCTTCCTCTAAGGGGTTGTTGTGTAACAAGTGCATAATGCCCACTGGAACGTCCATGTATTTTATCAGCAACTTGATGAATTAATTTCAAGATATAAGGCTTTCCTATTATAACAGGCTGCTCAAAAGGATCTCCCGTTCTTCCATCAAAAATTCTACTTTTTCCCGGGCATTCGGGTTCAAATACCCACGGATTTGCTGTTTGCTTACCGGCTTCATATAATTCAGAAAATACTAGTTTTCTCGAAGCCTCTTGTTCATATCTCTCATCAAAAGGTGCTACTCGATAATGTCTATCTAGCAGACTTCCCGCTAACCCGAGTGAGCATTCAAATATCTGTCCTACATTCATTCGTGAAGGTACTCCTAATGGGTTGAAGACCATATCAACAGGTCCTCCATCTTGCAAATAAGGCATATCTTGTCTAGGCAAAATTTTTGAAATGATGCCTTTATTTCCATGTCTTCCAGCGACTTTATCCCCTACTTTGATTTCACGTTTCTGTAAAATATATACACGAATTGTTTCTGGATTATAACTGGAACCCCCTTTTTCTGGATCCATCTCACATCAATAACTCGACCCCTACCGCCTATAGGTAGTTTTAGACAAGTTTCCTTTGAAGTAGATACCTGA